AATGAAAGGTGAGAAGCAACTGTTTGGTTTAGTGACTTTGCATTCTGGCAAAGGCACAATAAAGAAACCAAACAGATTCCCTTGACCTTTCAGTCTCTATACCTATTTCTTAGATCTTTACTTTATCCTTTTTATTTCTAATATAGAAAGATACTGTATTTATTGTTACAAGTGAATATAGGTCAAAGTGTACAGGGGATCAAGAAATGTTATTCTTGTATAACCTGTGCACTTTGACTTCTACCACCTTAAATTACTAACCCTGTATAAAATACTGCTGTAAATGGCAGCTCATGGAATAAAGTTGTAGAATGATTTATTTCAATCGTGTATCTGAGCTTCCATTGAACAGTGGTGTTTTAGTCTTTCAACAAGTCCTATTTGCTGTAGGTGCTGGGATTAATTAATTTGATTTTGTATTGCTCTCAAGGCTAGAGCTAATGGTCTGCAGTCCTGTGTGATTATCATACGTATTCTTCGTGACCTCTGTCAGCGGGTTCCAACTTGGTCTGATTTTCCAAGCTGGGTGAGTAATGTTCTTTTGAATGAGTCTTGCTAATACATATGATACTGCAAGTGAAGCATAGGGAAGTGTTACTACATTTTTTAAATGTAGACTTTTTCAAGAAGTAACGTAGGTTTTGTTTGGGTTTTGGGGCGGGTTTTTTCCCTAACAAATAATCCAGATTCCCTCTAAAAATTTAGTTTTCTGAGGTTTTGTCATTTGAAGATGGAATTTTTTTTATTTTCAGAAGGAATTTTCTTGTTCTTTTGTATTCTTCGTGGGTAGCATTCTATTCTAGATACTAGCATTTTTTCCTTTCCTCTGTATAAAAGAGTCTAATTTTTTCTAACCACCTACTCTGAATTGCTTGGAGTTTACTGAAACTTATGTAAAGTAATGACAGCTTGGCCCAGACAGTTCTGTGATAACAGAAAGGCTACTTGAAAGAATAAATCACAGTTATTCCTGTGATAATTAATGTGTCCCTTCTGCAAGATGAAATACCACAGTGCTTCAGTACAGTCTGTAGGTGTGTCACCATTAGCATTTTATTTGGTGTCACTTAAATCTCTAGGTTGTACTGGGTTACTTCTTTTAATTTTTGCAGCTGAGTGTTCTCGGAACATTCCTTTTGCGTTGACTATCTTAAATTATGCTTTCCAGGAGTGCAGCTTGTGCTCCAAATATTACACAAAGATTGTGCTCCAATCTTTGGACTGGACAAAGTTAGTCTGAAACAGAATCTCTGAAACGTGTATCGTGTGAAAGTAAACTTAGCTCTGACTGTTTTGTTTCACAGACCAAATCCAGTTGCACTGTGCTGCTTCCAGTTTTGGCAGGAAGAGCACTAACATTGTCAAGACAGTTTGAGCAGTTGATGTTATGTCAATGAGAAATGTTTTACAACTGTACTAACCTTGCAGATAATTTTATTAAATTACTTCTGATAATATTTATTGCTTCTTGAAAAAATGTGGAGCAATTATTTCTGTCTTTTAAATATTTAAATTAAAAAAAATAGTGCCAGTTTCTGTGCTACATTTCATGAAAGATACACTGTACAAATATAGCTTAAAAGAAGCAAAGAAGTATGTAAGTGCCAACTTAATATCACTATGATACTGAGTTGCAAAACAATAAACCCTGGCACACTTAGAAAACCATCCTTAGAACTATTGCAATAGACAGCAGGCACATAGGTGAAGAACAAGGTCTGTTGTTTTTTATTTCTCACATTATCTGTTCTAAGGCACATACAGAAGGAAAGAGAGGTATGAAGCAGTGTGTCAGGCCTAGCTGTGTCTCAGTTCTGTCCAAGAGTGATTCCCGATTTGCTCCTGGTACCCGATCCACGGTCAGTGACATGGATCAACATTGAAGTCTGTGTAGTTAGCTGTTCTTTTGGCTGGGTGGTAGAGTCTTACCCATAAAAACAATGAAAATGGTGATTTAAAATATGTGTGATTTCTGCCAGTCAGATGGAGTTTCACAGATTGAATAAATTTTTCTGGATACAGAACTTTTCCTAACCTGTATGCTAGAAGCCTGTTACAAACCAAAGAGATGCCAGAGCTTTTCAAAAAGAACCTAACTAGTTGTAAAAATAGAAGATACTAGGAAGTCTAAATAAGGACATTAGTAGCACCCTCTTTATGTATCTAAAAATAAAAACTAAATTAGAAGAATTTTGTCAATTTCCTGCAAGTTAGAAAGAACTATTCAAGGTTGATTTTTTCAAACTTGAAATCCAGCCTTTTGGTGCACATTAACACCAGGGCATCATAATTGACATTTTCCTAGGATTAAGTTATAGACTTTAGTGTATTGTATGAGGATCCAATAGAGTTGAATAAATGCAAAAACATGATCCGCTTTTTTTTCTTTCCTGCTGTATTTTGCTTCATACTTGAAAACAACTGAAATACTGTTGCTAAATCCTGAGTGTTGCAGTGGGATTATGGAAATTCCATGCTCAAGAATTGAAATTTGTCAGTTAAATGGAGCTAAAATAGAAAGGAATAGGCATCCTTAATGAAGGATTGTAATTAACATTGCCTGTAGTTACTTGCATGCATCAGAAGAGGCATTTACTCCTGGAAAGTAAAAAGAAAAGGCAACATTTGAATGACTGTAAACTTGAAGGAGAGGACCAAAAAACCACACACACCCCCAAAAAAACCACCAAAAACCAAAGAGACACACATTGCTTGAGAATTAAACTTGCCAAAGAGGTAGTATTGAAACATGCAGCTAATACTGAAAAAAAAAAATAAGGAAAGCTGTTCTTTACTTTTGCAAATATCTTTTATAGGTTTTTCTGGAAAAAATAGTGTCTAATAAAAGTAAACAGTGGAAATATTCACAGAAAAAACAGTATTTAAAATACAGCTAAGAATTTAAACCATTTTAATTAATAGCAAATAATGTGTAAATTTTAGAAAAACTGTTTATCATCAAGGCTTTTTTACACTTGTTTAACATCTGAGTTAGTGTTAGCCTATATCCAGGAGAAAACTTGCTGTGAACTTCAGCTTTGCTAAACTGAAGAACTTAAACATTAAAAGATCATTAAATTTTTGATGCTTTAAGTTTCTGTACTCTTGTGGAAAAAAATATTTTTCTATAGCATCCTGTTAATTTCATTAGATATACTATGTCCTGTTTATTCATGTGGCTGACAGATTCAGGTGACCGACCCACTGTGTTTCATACTCTCTCAAAAAATGGCTGCTCTCAAAAGTTGTCTGCCTGCATATGTAGGCTGCTACTGTATAAATCTCTACAAAACTTTTGAACAACTTGTGATGGGAAGAAGCATTTCAGTATCAGTACTGAATGATAATCTTTTACCAGCTTTCTTTTTATTCATTTTTATAAAATATCTGATTTTTTTTTTTCCATTTTAACTGAAAGTGTCCTCTGATGTGTAATGTTCTTTCAGAAGTCCAGATGCAAAAGTTCTGTATTGAACAACAGTAGCAGCTTTTTTCTGGTTTAATCCATCTTCTAAATTGGCTGGATTTTCTTATTGTTGGTCTAGGCTATGGAGTTGCTTGTGGAAAAAGCAATTAGCAGCGCTACTGGACCACAGAGTCCCGGGGATGCACTGAGAAGAGTTTTTGAGTGTATATCTTCAGGAATCATCCTTAAAGGCAAGTTGCGTTTGATCAGTGTCTGTATACTTAGGCTTAACTAATGTAAAATCTGTAATCTTGGTTGAAATAAGGTAGAGATGTGCTACTAATTAGCCTAACCGTTGTAGGTGGTCCTGGTCTTCTGGACCCTTGTGAAAAAGATCCTTTTGATACACTTGCTGTAATGACAGATCAGCAACGAGAGGATATTACTTCGAGTGCACAGGTAAGGAAACGTATGTGTGAAGTACTAACTAAATTTGATGGCTGTTTTGGGGGGTTGTTTTTATTTTTTTTTGTGTATTATTTTTTTAAAATGGAGCTATATGGTGGACATGAATTTTCCTTTCTTAGAATACAGTCCAGTCTTGTCAGTCTTAAGCTAGGCAATGAACATGTCACAACAGAGGATGTATAATAGTGTTCATTTTTGTGCTAAAATTGACTTACTTTCCTGAAGAGTTTGAGGCACTCCCATCTATATATATATATCTGTAAAGACGCTCACTCTACAGCAGTATGTTATTAGATTTAAAATTACATTAGCATTTAGTATTTTATAAATAAATCTACGTAAGTTTAATTTTTAATATTTTTTGTATCCACTGACAGTATTGACCATTCATGCTTGCTTAAGAGGTTACTTGCCTCTGCCTCTTCGTTTGATCCTTTTGCTGAAGGTTACTAAATGTGTAATGTGACATGTGACAAGCCTTGGCTGCTTCAGTGCAAGTCCAGCAGCTATCACACATGTACATTAGTTTTAAGCTAAGATGATTTACTTTGTACAGAAGCAGCAAATATGACACACATTTTATTGTTGGGAGGCACACATTGACTTTGTTGGGGGAAGGAGGAGGGGATAATGACAGATAAGGATAATATACACCACTAATGTTCTTCATTAATTTTTTGACAAAGTACTCAAAATTGATATTTGTTTCTAACAGAAATATCTTCTTTCAACCCTTTTTCTAGTTTGCACTGAGACTCCTTGCATTCCGTCAAATACACAAAGTTTTAGGAATGGATCCATTACCACAGATGAATCAACGCTTCAACATCCATAATAATCGTAAAAGGAGAAGGGACAGTGATGGTGTTGATGGATTTGAAGCAGAGGGAAAAAAAGACAAAAAAGATTATGATAACTTTTAAAAATGTTTGTCATCAGTGCTCAGATCGAAGGTGATAAGTCCATTTGTTGCCTTGCTTTTACTTCATTCATAATAATGTCTGTTTAAAGCATCCAAAACCAACTCTGGAATTAGATTTGGAAGAGAAGAGCCTAGCTCTTCTGTGAGATTCTGAATATTTTAATGGATGTACTGTACCAGACAAATTATGGATGGAAAGACTGCAAATGGAAACTCTGTTGTCATGGGAAAAAAATAGTTTTCCCTTATTGAATTTTCTTTAAATGTGTTGCTAACTTTAGTTAACTTTTCTTCCTTTTTTTTGTCTTTTTTATTAACAAGTGCGTTGTCCTCTTATTGTGACTCTATTTAATGCAGCATTTGTGCTTCTGTTGCTATGTGTATTTTGACTTTTTATTTAGAGGGTTTTTTGTTTGCCTTTGACACTAGCTGTATAAGTTACTTTGTGTTAGATAGTATAAACTGTTCCCCTCCCAATTAATATTTTACAGAACTTTTTTTTGTAAAGTGAGACTGCAGGATTATGTTTTTTTCTAAATGTGAAGGGGTTACAACACATAATTATCCTGCCATTTGAGTGCTCAGAATTACATGTTTTTGCCATTTGTCTCCTTAGTGTGATATAACAGTGTAATTAAGACAAATTTGTGTTAATCTAATCAAGTTTGCTGTTAGTTGTGCATTAGCAGTATAAAAGCTAATATATACAGTATGGTCTTGCAAGAGTTTTAAAGCAGCTGCATAATTGATCAAAGTTTTGCATGATGTTTTTGTTTTTAATAGAAGGGCTTTGAAAACTATAATTTTTGGTTAAATGCGTAGATCTTTGTATGATTGACTTTGTGGCATAGCAAGGCCAAAAAATAACTTTCTGAATTCCTTTTCTCAATATACAAGCAAAAGCAGGCATTTCCCATTTAGACAAAGTTAGTCATTCTTTTCAGTCAACTTTGTCAATATGATATTAATGCCTGTCAGCCCTTAAAATAAATGTTTGTCATATCAGTGCCTGTGAGGTTATTCCTTATAGCTATTCCTGTATAAACTTTCTGTGATTTTTTTCAATAATTCAGACTTTAAAAGTGAAGTATTACTGAAAAGTGAAGGTTATCAAAGAAAAAACCCAGAAAATTATTTGATGTGGCCATAGTGTATGCTTATGTTTCTTTCAAAAAGCTAAATATAGCAGTGGTGTAAGTAAAGTTACATCATACTGTTGATGTATGCTCCGGTACACAGGTGTGATTTGTTGTCACAGCACTACAGTGGAATACACAAATAAAACCTAAAATTTATTAAATGACTAAAATTCATTATACATTGGAAACTGAAGTTTCACTCATTCTGTAAAATGTGTATTATGCTTTGTTGCAAACCCATAAAACACAGATTAACATAGACTAACATTCCGATAACTACTTTATCAATGGCTGTAGGAGAGTAATGACACATTACAAAGATCATTTGTTATTTCTGGTACCATTTATTAAAAAAAACTTTTTTCCGTTTTGAGGTCGAATTTATCTTTGACCTTTTTAAAAATTAACTCGTGGAGTAGGGGGATATTTCTGTTGGCAACACCTACTGCTAACAGCATGAGCCTATGGAATAAAAATACAATATTTTAGAAGAATAGAGGGAGTCTAAAGACTTAAAGAAAAAATATAATGCAGTATTCTTCAACCATAGAGTGCAATTTTAAGGGAGTCATTATTAGTGGTTAGCAAATGCAAGGAAAGTTTTCGCATTGTAGGAAAGATTTCTTACTAATTTCAGCATCAGAAATATAGAAAGCAGAAATGCTTTAAAGTTACTTTAAAAAAATATTACACTAGATTCTGTTGTCCTGCCTTCATGCATAGCTCCAAGCATATGCTTGTTCTTAGTCTTTTTTAAAAGAATATCTTGCTGCCATGGTGTCTATTTAGCCATTACTATTTATTTTGAAAGCTACAGGTGCTATTCGTGTGGCTAGTTCAAGTCCATACCAAAGTTTCTTTCCTCATAAAGCAAACCTGTCTATTCAGGCATGTGACCCTAAAATTTAGGATTAAAAAGGTCAAAGATGTATTTTGGATTTCCTGTATTTTTGTTCTACTGGCTTTTAACTCTTAACCAGTTTCTGGATCTTTTGAAATATTGTATACTTAAAGTGATTCCACATTAAATATGAAGCTGTGACCATGATTTTTGCGCTGTATGGTGAAGAGTGAATTTGCAATTTCTTTCTGGTTTTCCTGCCCATTTTAATGGGCTGTCTTAGGTAACTTCTGACTCCTGTTAATCTCAGAAGAATGGAAAAACAAGATTTTTAAAAGTACAGAGCTAGCTTTGACTTTTTGGGCCCCTTATGACAAGAAAGACCTTGAGGTGCTGGAGTGAGTCCAGAGAAGGCCAACAAAGCTGGTGAAGGGTCTAGAGCACAAGTCTGATGGGGAGCGGCTGAGGGAGCTGGGGGTGTTTAGTCTGGAGAAAAGGAGGCTGAGGGGAGACCTGATCGCCCTTTACAGCTACCTGAAAGGAGGGTGTGGCGAGGCGGGGGTTGGTCTCTTCTCCCAAGTAATGAGCAACAGGACAAGAGGAAATGGCCTCAAGTTGCACCAGCGGAGGTTTAGATTGGATATTAGGAAGAATTTCTTCACCAAAAGGGTCGTCAAGCACTGGAACAGGCTGCCCAGGGAAGTGGTGGAGTCACCATCCCTGGAGGCATTTAAAAGATGTGTAGGTGTGGTGCTTAGGGACATGGTGTAGTGGTGGACTTGGCTGTGCTAGGTTAATGGTTGGACTCCATGATCTTAAAGGTCCTTTCCAACCTAAATGGTTCTATGATTCTCAATATACACTGTGCACATAGAAAGACAAAACCAAGTAGTCAGTTTATGAAAAAGTAATCATTTTAGTATCCTGGTTTTTGGTAATGCTAGCAGTTTACTAATAAGCAGTGTTTGCCTTTTTTATTCAGCAACGCTATGTGTTAAATCTCAAAATCCTAGACACCAGTCATCATACACACAAGAGAAATGTACACAGCAAGAATTTTCCCCTCAGTGCTCCCCTTAGAGGAACAGTTTGTGAAAATGTGAGCTGTTCTGTTTTGAAGTTTTTTCAAACTGTGACTTGTCTGCCTAGTTTGTAAGTCTGTCCTGTCTGTGAGCAGTGTGGTTTCACATGGATTCCTGTATAGAGGCATTGCCAGAAATTAAAAGTCTGTTGGACATAGTCCATCAATGTCTTACCCTTTTATGAAATTCTAGATGAACTGTTAATCTTATAGAGCTATTGAATGTGATGGATTCATTTGCTGCTTCTATTTTTAGACCTGTTTCACTACTCAAAAGTGATTTAATAGTACTTAAAATGGTTGTACCTGTCAAACTTCTGAGAGTTGGAATCAACTTTAAATATTCCTACAACAATTTGTATGCATATTTAACATTCTTGTTGCTGGTTGAGTATCTGCTGGTTAAGTAGTCATACAATGCCAAATTCATTTCTTTATTAAAGAATTAAGACTTGTTTGGAATACCCAAATGGATTTTAATGACATAGCATTAATAAGGGGTTGGGGGGGGGGAGTAGTAGGCACAATTTGCAATCTGGTTTTTTCCACTTACATTGTAGGTTCACAAAGTACAGTGATAGACTCAACAAAAACATCTGTTTGCCTTCTGTTTGTTGGGGTTTTTTTTCTCTGACAGCTGTAAACCGAAGAACTTTCTAACCAAGAGCTAGCAAATTAAATTTCTCTTGAGAGATTCTTCTATAAATCTTCTCAAGAGTTCTTCTTTCCTTCAGCATGGTATTTCACAGCCTTTTAAAAATGACAGATATCTGGTCTTTTGGGGAGGAAAAAAATCCCAAGAGTATCATCTACAGAGTTATCATAATGGTTTTGATTTACATTCAAATAAAAATCAGGCTTCATTCTGTAAATATCTGTTAATTTGTATTCTCCCATTTTGTTCCACTTTCACATTTGGACTACAAAAATGTGCATCTATATTCCTGGCAGTGAGAGAAGTTAGCTGTTGTTTATTGTACTGCTTTCTGGTTTTTTACAGTTTGCATTTTAAGAAATGCTGCCCTAATAATACTTGGCAAGTGTAAAGTTCCTAACAGGGTAAAGGTCATTCTCTTTCATGGGTACATGATTGGCAGCTGTTGCTGTGGATTTTTATGCTGGCACAGTGCACAATTTCCCATTTAACAAAGCCTCAACATATCTGTGTTAGCAAGGGTCATCATTAAGAGTTGTCATCTTCTTTAATACATGTGTTTTGTTAAACTATTTTGCAAAGCCATGGCCATTAATATTTATTCTGAAGCCAGTGGTTCGTTTATTGCAGGTAGTTTAAACCCTATCAGCTTTTGGAGGCTCAGCCTAGCTTAAATACTTTCACATATATCCTACATCAATCCAATTTCAGAAATCCACAGAAACGTATAATGACATCAAGAAACTTCTATGGATTTTTGAAGTTTCCTATACTTAAAATCTAAGATTGCAGATTGGAATAGCTGACAAAGAGAAAATAAATTGAGTTTTTGTACAGTAAAATGTTACTTTAACATTAAAAGGGAGACAAAAATCCTCTTGTTTCTACATGAGAATCACAAACCTTCCTCCTTATTTAAGCTTTTTTCTTCGTTTTTCTGCATGCTGCATCATGTTAATTGAATGTATATATGATTAGAAAGTTCTGTCCAGAGTATGTAAGACAGCTTTATGACAGACTTAACTTCTGGCATACATTTAAATTTGCCAGTAATTTGCTGGTTATACAAGTTAATGTTTTCTTACTAAGACGCTAAGCTGAGCTTCATTGCTAAGAATGCAAGTCAGAATAATATGGGAGAGATGAAGGTGCCAGAATACAGGGGTTTACATTTTACATGCTCCTAGGGTATCTGCTGCTCCAAAAGGGGATGGGTTTCTCAGAGGTCTGGGACCATAGTTGCCAGCCCCATATGGATACCTTAGTATGCCTTAGGATGTCTAGAATAGCATTGTTGAGGTAACTACTGTGTATTTACATGCATGAGAGAAAAGTGCAGGTACTTTCAAGAATTGGAGGCAGTGTGACCTAGAGTGTTGCATAATCATGAAGAAAGCATTGTGGTATCAGCAGGGGTGTGTGCTTGTCACAGTAAAGTGCCTATGAATCAAATGCCATCCCA